GATGAGGACATGGTTAGCTGATAAAGATGCTGTGCAGAGGCTGCTTGTGAAGGAGCGGGTAAGATACATTTTTTTGAATTTTTGAAACTATAAAAATTAATATTTGTTAATTTTTGTTATTATAATTATTTATTTACTCATTTATCATTATTATTATATTGTAGTTTTTTTTACTGTGTTCTTGTTGCAGATGGATACTGGGCTTCCCCTCGAGAAAAATTTTGCGAACGGAACAATAAAAAGACTATCAGATCCGCCGTACGAACCTCCACCCCGCAAAGTGCAGGTAATAACTTTTCCTTTTTCATTGTTTTTTCAAATTGTTTACTTTTTGCTCGGTCTTCTATTTCCTGGGGAATAAATGCCAAATCCCTTTTTTGAGTCACTTTGAAATCTCCCAGATAAGTCCTCACATCAGATAAGCCGCTTTTTTGACGCAAATAAAAACCTTCACATAAGTCCGCTCACAAGTAAGTCCGTTTTCTTCCCATTTAATTACCCTGAGATCTTCTCAGATAAGTCCGAAGACTGTAAGTTAAGTCCGCGACTTATCTGTAGACGGACTTATCTGATGGGAGAACTTATCTGCAGGATTCTTGGCGGCGCAAGCGTGCATTTTTATCGATTTTCCCTGTCAAAAAAGCGGACTTATCTTTTAGGGTAGTTTCTCAGTGGAACGTATGCCTTAAAAAAGATGCCTCGTCATTCACTAAAACTGATTTTCCATTTACAGCGCACCATCATCACCGAACAACAGAAAGAAGCTCTACGTTTTGTGTTCCAGCATGAACACCATCCTAGCCAGAAAACTGTTGAGCTTGTGAGTATTTTTTGTCTTTTTTTCGTAAATTAGCGTAAAATTTGCTTTCTTACAGCTTTCGCTGAAACTAAATCTCAATATTCGAACCGTGAACAACTGGTTTCACAATCATCGTACAAGACAAAAGGCGAGCATGAAAGAAGGAAAGGTGTATCCGCCAGCAGTTGGCAGTTTGCCAACAAGTAAAAATTGGCAGCAGGTATGTCATTGTTTGCTTCCGCTTTATTCAAAGCGTTAATTCTTACTAATCATTTGGTTAGCTACCCACTTTTTAGTTTTATGGTTGACTTTTTTTTGCGAAGATCTGGATTTTTTGGAAATTCCTTGATATTTTTCATTAAATTTTTTTCTCTGCTTTGATCATGTCAAATTTGTCAAGCTATGTGCGAATTCTTTCAGGATCTGCACTCTATTCTTGAAAATGCTTCACGCTTCTCTCTTATGGATGACTCACCGCCAACTATGGTACCAGTTCCGGCTGCACCTCTCTTTACTACTAGTGGTGATGAACGTGCTAACTCGTCCATCCTCTTCTCAAACGATGATCCTCCAACGACGACGTCAACGGCCACGACGTCGCCGTCACCGTTGTTCTCAGCAGAAGAACGTTGCGAAAAAGCAAGTCAGCTGGATCGCGCAGTGGCCAAGATGCGCATGTTGGCCGCGTCAAAAACCGCTTGAGGCTTGATTTTTCTGAATTTTTGACTTTATTGTTTCGATG